TTTTTTTTTTTTTTCCACTCCACCTTCTTCTACATTCACTTGTCAAAAATGATATATCGATAGACAGTTATATCGTGGGAGTAGATTCATTCAAATAAATTGCAAGTGATTTGGAATTCTCCTCTCGAATGCATATGAAGCGATACTTGTTAATTCTTTTAACTTAAAGTTTCTTTTGAAGAAATGTATACTTGTTACTTTGCAATAATACCCAATAACAATTTACATTCAGCTACGTTCCCTTCGCCGATATTTCGACAAACGAAACGTCAAAGAAAGAGCGAAATAAAATAAAAATATCATCGATACCGGCGGAATTCCAACTTTTAACGAACGATCGAAGGAAGGAAGCAGCAATGGCGTCTTGGAGCAAGAGAATGGGTGAATTCCAAGTCGGCAGAACGAGGCCATTCCTTCTTTGCCAACTCCCTTTCATCTCTGACCGTGATCCCTTTTCAACGGCGGACCAAGATCTGAGGAATAGTTGAGAGTTCGACTCGATAGTTCGGACGTAGCGGCGGTTTTCATTCAGGCGCATGAAAATTCCCCTCCCGAGCGAGTACAGAATCGTCGCGTCGCGGCGGTTTCGGATACGAAGGTAGAAGAACAACGAAACGCCGGGTAGTCAAGATTCGTGGAATTCCTCTAGACACGACACGCACCGCACAGGAGGGATTTTGTTTACGTGCACGTTGAAGAGGCACGTTGTCTTCGTTCCATCGAATCGGTGGATTCCGGTGAAAGGAAAAACTTTGGAAGCGGGATGCCGCGTGTTCATTTCCTCTCTGCAAGCGAAAATTCCCCTCAAAGATTTTCGATCTTCCGCTCAAAAATTCCTCGCCAAAGTCTTCTCGGCAAAGAATTTAAATTGGAAGTAGTATTCTCGATGCATTTGGCATCGAAGAATGATCTGAAAAATCTTCTTTACAGGATCATCAGAAAAAAGATATATTGAATTTCTTAATTTCCGATATATTTTCTAAACGTATGAGAAGTTTGAAGTTTTATTCATTTTTTCGTATTGATTGAGATAGAAATATTTGAATTGAGCTTTTTTCTTTTTTTTGATCCTTTTAATCCTGAAATGTCACATCAGGATCTTGGTAATACGTATTCTTGAGATTATGTGTTATAATATAAAATTGGAAATATAAAATTTGGATCTAATTTTAATAAAATATTTTAATAAAAATATTCTTTGGATATCTTTCAATTCCACATGAATTTTATTATGATTGCGAGAAGATGAAAGATTGTGAAAGAAAATATCCGATTGCCGAAAGTCGAATATTTTGGATATTTTGGATATTTTAGATACTCAAAATTACATCAAATTACGTCAGAAGAACAAATGTATTGTGTTAAGCACAATTATACAACACATGTGCAGTCTTTGACATTCGTTTATCTCGCACAAGATGCAGTTGAATATCTTGACGTAAGAATAATTATAAATTACCATTGTACAGCAGTTGTGTGCTATTGTGTGCTGTTTCCTTTGTTAATAAACCGCTATTGATTAGAATCGTATAAATACTTGGCGCTTTTTTGCCAGAACGTGTAGTATTCCGAAAGTCGTATTACAAACCAATCGCAAAAATGCAGTTGAAAGCATTGTTCTTCTTCCTCTTCGTTGCCACCATCTCCTACGCTATCGCTGACAGTGTAAGTAGATACATTACAATTTTTCGATCATCCAATTCTTCTTTCTCTCATCTTGATTTTACATTTCATCAGAAATTGTCAGAATTCTTAAAAAAAGAAAAAACGTATACAATTTTTCATGATAAAGTAATACTCGATTAAAATTATACAATTTTTCAAATTTTCTTTGCAACATCTCTTCTCTCGTTTTCGTAGATATATCATTATAGAGACTCGAAATATTGTTAATCGAAAATTGTTTTCACATTTGTGGAAAAACTTAAACACTTTTTTTTTTACGTTTTAAAGAGCTCCAGCGAATCAAAGGAAACTGCGGTAGATGCACTTAAGAACATAGGCAAATCTGCTGACAACATAATAAAACAATTTGGGAAAGGATTTTCAGGTACGATACACATGATATATATATTCCATTTGTCTTTAAAAAATTCGTATATAATTTTGTTTATCCCAAACACTGGCTAAATATTATTAATTTAACCTTTATTTTGTTCGAAGTATTAAAAAAATATTACTCGTATCCCTTAAACGTCTATTCTGATGAAAAATATTTCACCGTGTAGCCGTAGCAAAGGGTAACTTGGGCACTGTCAATTTGACCAAGGCGCTCAAATCGGTGGAAGATCGATTGAAATTGCCGAATCTCTCGAAATATTCGAAGGAGGCCAAGTCACAGATCGAGGCGGCTCGAGATCAGGTTGCAAACGCGTTGCTTGAAGGCTCATCCGATTTGATCGCCGTTCTCACTGATGCCATACAATTAGCTATCCGCAGCACAGAACCTATCAAAGCCTTGGTGGACGTCTTCGATGCGATTAAGGACGTGTATTTCGATATAGCGGTAAATAATTCACTTGCCATTGGTCTTAACGTAATACAAGACGGTGTTCTAATGTGTCAAGTCATCGTCGAAACCATGAAGGTGGCTTTCCAAGTGTAAAAAAAAGAAAGAAAGAAAGAAAATGATAACGAGAGTCTGACGAATGAAACGAATTGGAAATTGCAATTGTATTTTTTCTCGATGGAAAATTTAACTGTGTAAATCGTGGAAATCATAGTTGATTAAAAAAGATATCACTTGAAAAAAAAATGGAGACTATTTTATTCGATTTATCCATCTCGTAATCGAACGAATTCGTCCCTCGAATGAAAATATTTCCTTCCTCATCCCTTACTCGATTTTCAATAACAATTTTTCTCTACCTTTCTTCTTCTACTATCACTTTTCATTATGCATTCATTCGTACTTCTTAGAAACATACGAAATCTCTCTACACATAAACATTATATCCAAAAAACATAACCAACCATCCTATACGATAAAACCCACGATTATAAATTTAAACATAGAAAAAGCGTTTCGTTTCAAAGCGAGCAATTGAAAGAATTACTCTTAACTCTCGAGATTCTAAAAAAATTCTCGAAAAACATCTATATTTTACGAGTATTACGAGAAAGAAAGAGGCAGAAACGTAAACACGGTTTTCACGGTCGCTGACCGATTCTCATCCCCCGCTTCTCCTAACAATCTGTTCCCACCTCGTAAAATTGTCATCGCGCGTGCATAAAACATGAGCAGACGTTTCGAGGAGCGGCGGAGGGAGGGAGGGAGGGAGGGAGGAGAGAAGATCGCGCGAATCTAACGTGAGGCGAAAAATACGAGGAGGAAGTATATATATATATATCGTACGTTGGTGGTTGTGAATGCCTGTAGGGTTGTCGATGAAGACTCCAGAGGTTTAGGTTCGACGACAGGCTCGCGGGGCGAAGGCAACCTGGAGGAAACGAATGGCGCGGGAAAAGGGAAGGGTCGTTCGAGCGCGTATTTCCACCTTGCCGCCTCCGTCGCGGGCGCTAAAATACATTTTCCTACGAAGTGTCGTCACGGGAGGGCCTCCAGCTGCTGGTCGTGATATTCTACATGCGTAATGCTCGCGCGAATATTTCCATACATAAATTTCATAGCGGGGTAGAAAGTGTGGGTGGGTGGTTGGTTGGGTGGTGGCGCACGGTTGCACGTCGCACCCCCCTGATGATGATGCGCCGCATCCTGGCGAGCGACGTGCTCGAGGATCTGTTGCTTGATCCTCCTCCGTTTTTTCGCCAGTTTTGCGAACAATCATTATTCTTTCCTCCCCCCTTCTTCTTTTCCGTGACTATTCTTAGATTCTTGGATATCGGTTTCGCGCGAATAAATATAAAGATAGAGGGGAGGGAGGAGGGAAGCGTGTGCACAACAGTTGATGTACGTTCGTTAAAGAAGAAGAAAAAGAACAAAGGAAATAAATATATAAACGAATCGTGTTTCTCTCTCTCTCTCTCTCTTTTTCCGTTTTAAATAAATTTGAATATTATAGAAAACAATGATGTTGTTCAATGGGGGACAAATTATACGAACGCTTTAAATTAATTTATTCTTGTTGATACACATCTGTCTTTATGTCAATAACTGACATGTATCGTAAAATGTACTCACGATTAATTGTCACAAAAAAAAAAAAAAAAAAAGTGATATTTAACAAGCGAATGATGGTTCCGAATCTTCTATCTGGTTGTGTCTGAAGCCCATATCTATGCGTATATTCTCGCCGTTTATTAATGGATTTTCGATACAAGCTTGGATTAAATGGGCAACTTCCTCGCAAGTTCCATAACGTTTCGGTGATAACTTCATTCTTATCCATTTCGCTCTTTCGGGTGGCTTTTGCGGAGCTGTAGACGTACGATATCTCGATGAATTTCAAATTTTTAAATTTTACTTGATATAACAATTACGCGCAGCATTGCCACCCGATATTACCTGTCATGGGACTGTCTATGTAACCGGGGCATATGGTGATAACGCGTATCCCTTTCATCGCCAATCCTCTGGCCAAGGGCATCGTCATTCCAGAAACGGCGGCTTTCGAAGCGCCATAAGCAACCATACCGGCTGGAGGATCGTACGCCATCATGCTCGAAAGATTTATAATCACTCCCCTCTGTTTATTCTCATCGGGTTTGTTCTCTATCATTAAAGGAGCTAATAAACGTGTCACGTTGAACAGACCCCAAACGTTAGTGTCGAAGATGCATCGGTACATATCGACGGAATGCGGCTTCTTTGTTTTGTGATTAATTATTGTCTCGTATCCAACGACACCGGCCGAGTTAATCAATACGTTTACACCCCCGAATTTCTCCTTCACGCATTTTATGCTGTCCACCACATCTTTCTCTAATCTCACCTAATGAAATCATCGTATATTTGATCGTATTTTGTAACACAAATGTTTGTTGCTTTAGATGATACGGAGAATGTCAAAATGTAAATATATACATAGGAAGAGAAATCTTGAAGAAAGGATAAGTTGGAGAGAGTTAAAGAATATTAAATTATTTTGTTCGACGATAGTGATAGCGATAACTTACGAGCAATTGAACTTACGTCGGTACAGGTAAATATAGCTTTATCACCCATATTCTCGACAACTTTAGCTCCATTACAAGATATATCAGCTACCACTACTTTACCACCTTGTTGAAAAATTTTCTCCGCACATGCTTTTCCAATACCGTTCGCGCCTCCAGTAACGTAAGCGACAATATGCTGGATTCATTAATAATTAATTATATTACTTTTTGTGATAAAAATAATCGTAATATCGTAAGATAATCCTTATATCATTCATATAAAATAATATTATTTTATTTTATTTTTTTTTTTCGTATTTATATAATCATCGCGCCACGTATTTTTCGAAATATCAAAATATTGAAATTTGAAAGGGAGGATCTATCTTTATCAAAAATACAAGAAAGAAGATTACTCGTGTAATTTACCTGCAATTTCCCCATTTTGACATTTCCTTGTTAAACGATTGAAATTAGAATGTTTCTCGTTGCTTACTTCTTTTTGCCCAGTTTAGAAAAATTTCCTATTTAGACAAGAAGTCATGAGTATTTCAAAAATAAAAAAAAAGGAAAAAAAGAATAAAAGAAAAAAAAAAACGATGAAAATTTTTAAAATACGATGAATCGAGTTCTGCTTCTTTTATCCCTTCATGAAATATTTTTTCATTCAAGCCTACACCATAATAAACGATGGACATTATAAAATTAATTAAAAAGAAATATAACCAATCCGAATACAAAATCGAAATTTGAAACTTATTACCAAGTTATTTTCCGTTTTCCTTATTTCTTCATTGACTCTTGCCCTAATTAGTCTATTCGTTGCAATAATTTTCAAATAATTTCAATGAAATTTTATGAATTAAAACACATGACAATCAAATATGAACGATTGTCATATTTACATTTTACATTCAATGTTCTTCATGCATGTTATTAAAAAGAAGAAAATCTAGTAAGCGATGAAATCTAGTTCGATTCCCAGTATCACGATAAACTTCAGATTATTATTATAACGAGTCGCGGCAAAATTTCAACATTATTTTCTATAAAAAAGTATTTTATTCAATTTATCTCGTTTATTTTCTCGCTATCAAAGGACAGAAGATATTTTTAATCGTTGATCGAGAAAACAAATTTCATCGTCGTTCGAAAATACGTTTTTGACGAATCGATCCGTTATAACGGCAACGTCAGACCGACGATATAACTTAATTCTCCACGATTAAACGCAACGGTTGCGATAAGGCTTGTAAATTGAGCGAATTATGCCGTTCGTACCGGTACACGACGTAGCCTCAACCGATTAACACGCGCATTACGCGAGAGGTTGCAACGTTCAACCTGACATTTGCATTGGAACGTGTCGAACAATCCTCTACTACAAACACCTTGCGCCACAAATTACTAGTAATTCTCAATTTTATTGATCGTAAATTACACTTAATTCTTAAGATATCCAAAACTACTTAAGATAAACGAGATCTCCTCCCGATTTTAATCCATATATAAACCCATGATTTTCTTTTGTAAAAAAAAAAAAAGGAAAATATTAACAAAACATATCCATTTAGAAACTCTTCAAAACTCTTCATTTGCTCAACCACAATTCGATCGTGAAATCTCGTTCAGGGATCGAAGTTGAAACATTCCAGATATAGTTGCACGTCTCGATCGCAAAGGAAATGAAGGAGCGAGGAGAAGGAATAAAGAAGAGTCACGAATCGGTCACGTTAACGGAACGAAGGATCGGAACTTGATCACCGGCAAACCGTTAACTTCTCGCTACTATGCCCGTCCAATTTCAATCCTTCTCGGTTCCTACAATTTCCCGGCCGTCATTACCGGTATTCGTAAGTAAAGTCGGTCGAAGAAATACCACGTCTTCGCGAGGAAGAAAGCTAATCGTTAGAAGCTGGCTACACGGTACGCCAGACAGTCATCGCCCTCCTATCCTAATCGCCCTCAATATTCACCACCTTTTCCATTGTTGCGTATCGAGCGAAAACGTATAACGTGGAGGGCCTTCCTTCGTTTCTGCACACGGCTGCACAGAGAACCTGGAGAAACCTGTGGGTTTGAAGAGAGAGGAGAGAGAGAGAGAGAGAGAGGAGGGTGGATGGCGAGACGGAGGGCGAGGTGGACGGGGCGAGAGGTCGCAGAGGTCGGACACCACGTAAATTGCATACCCGATTGCGGTCTACTGAAGAGTGGCGCCCTCCACTGGGCAGCAACCCCCCCTCTTCAGACCGTGC